TGGACTATGGAGTCAAGACAAAGGAAGTGACAATCTTTTGTGACAATCAAAGTGCCATAGCCATCTCTCAAAACCCAGTGCATCATTCTCGCACTAAGCACATTGATGTCAAGCATCACTTCATCAGAGATCATGTGGAAAAGAAAGATATCAAAATTGAGTATATCTCAACTGAAGAACAACTGGCGGATATCTTCACAAAACCACTAAGTGAAGCCAAGTTTTCCGATTTGCTTCACAAAATCGGTCTAATTCAATTAGACTAAGTGCGGTACGCGTGGCGGACTACTTTCCACGTCTGTCAAAATATTGGGTAGGCACGTGGCCTTGGGAATAGTCAAAAACCCAATCGCCACTACTCAGATCTCAATCGCCCACTCAAAAATTTTTCGTCGTCTTCTTCGCAAAAAACTCTCAAGAACTCGCAAGAACCCTAGATCTTTCTCTCTCAAATTCTCACTCAAATTTCTGAGAAAATGAAGGTTGTCGGAGCAAATGTCCATTTCCAGAAGTTAGAAGCCAAGTGCTCTTCAACGACATTCTTTCAAAACTATCTGGAGATGATAGCCGCTCAAGATCTCTCCGAATTTCTTCGAATGGAGATTCGCCTCAAATTTGAGGAAGAAGTTCTTGAATTATTCAGAAATGGGGAAGTCAAGACTGCTCATTCAAAGAAGGATCCACAAAGGACGTTTCTAGTCATCAAGTCCACTGTTGGAGGCACAAAAGTGAAGCTTTCGCAGAAGAAATTGGGAGAAAAGCTTCGCATTCCCAATTCTGGAGCTGAAGTTGGGAAATTTCCAGTCAAAAATCTGGACTGGAACATCATTGGAATCTCTGGGCAAGTTCCTTCTGGCCCAGCGAAGAAAGCAGATCTAAACAACGATTACAAGTTGGTTTTAAAACTGGTCATCGCTTGCCTCGAGTGTGGAAGTGGAGGTCACGCTGATGACATCACCCAGGAGAGAGCCTTCATTATCAACGCTCTAATTTCCAAATCAAAGGTAAACTGGGCTGCACACTTTTTCAATTCCATCTCAAAGCATTTGGGAAAGCCCAACCAGAAATATCTCTGTCAAGGACTTTACGTTGGACACATTTTGGAGTCGATGGGTGTTGCTTCTAAAGGAAAGAAGTATGAAGAAAGATATTGGTTATACTATCTGTCTTCAAAAGGGGAAAACAGAGCTGGTGCTAGTGCCACTGCAGAAGAAAGTTCTTCAGATAACATCCCACTCATCCATATGACGAAGACTGCCAAAAGGAAGAAAGTGGTGTCTCCCTCCATTGAAGCACCACAGAACCTTGCCTTGATCTGTTTGGAAGAAGAAGAAGAAGTCTCTGACCATGGAGAACTTCAAAAGAAGAAGAAGAGGAAGTTCAACTCTCCATCAACATCTAGAAATGTCAATCCGGATGAGTTGAAGGAGAAGGAACCTGATGAGGAAACCTCTGCCCAAAACTGGAGCCCTCAACAACTTGAAGAAGAAACTCCTCAAGCCCAAAGCCTTCCAGCCTCATCTCAGCCTCAAACAGATGATGCTGAAAACAAATTCTGGCAGCTCTACTATAATTGGAGAGCTTGGAAAGTTGGAAATTCAGAAGAACAACTGTTGGATTGGGATCAACAACTGAAAAGTGAGAAGATCATCAAGAAATGCCTAGGACTACCAGTCAACCACGGCTGTGAAGACATGTTGGATGACTACTGGGTATGGCAAAGGAACCCTGAAGACCTACATATGGAATATCTGGTAAACACACCAGTTTTAGACTGTGAAGTAGATGATGAAGACACTGCAGTCTTCAAGCCAGTCCTCTCAAAAGCTACAGAAGATCAAGTGGCTCTCACTTCTGAAGCACATGCTACTTTGGAAGCAACAGCTGAGGATTTCCAAACATTTCCAGAAACCTCACCTGCCTTCGAAACGGAAACCTCACCTGCATTTCAAGAAACTTCACATGCTTCTGAAATGGTTCTGACTGAAGTTGTACAAGAGAAGGCAACCTCTCCCCCACAAGGACAGAACCAGGAAACATCAGCAGAAGAAGAAATTCAGCAACTAATCCAATCTCAAGGTTTAGAGATTCTCACAACTCCTGGTGAGATCTCCAATCATATTGAAACTGAGATCCCGGAGAAGATAGCAGAAATTCCAAAACAGTCAGCTCTTCCAGAAACAATAGAGCAAGCTGTTGAAGTGCAAAGGAACTCTGGAGAAGCTGAAAAGGAAACTCAAATGGCAGAAGTGGAGGTCTGTCAAACTCCAGTAGCCATTCTTGAAGAACAGAATGCAGAAGAAGAAAAAGACTCCCTCTCTAGGGATATATCAAATTTTGCGCTTGATGAAGCAGAAGGTGAATCTGAAAGAACATTAAAGGTCACTGATGAAGAAGATGTACAAGAAGATGCTGAATCTCTTCCTTTGCAACTCTTCCAAAGAACATCATCTCCTCATCAGGTAACAAATTTTCATTTCCATAGCTCTTCCACTCCTACCCTTCCGGATGAGATACCGGAAATCTGGACAAAGAAGGTCCAAGGGCTGATTGAGTCAGCCCTAGCATCTCAACATGCCTCCTTTAGGCAAGAGATAGAGCAAATGGAAGCCAAGTACACTCAACTGCTAGAGAAATCAGAAGAAAAACACAGCGCAGATCTCAAAGAAATAGGTAAATCAGTAGACAAGACTCTAGAGATCATCTCTCTATTGAGTGACACTGTGAGCAACACTATGGAAGTATATGCCTCTGATAGTCAACTTCAATTCAAAGAATTCAACAAAGTCAAAGAGCATATAGCGAGTGTCACAGTTGGTCTACAAAAACAAATGTCCCTTCTTCAACTGGACATCAGATCAGCCCTACCAGTAGCTTCGGCAAATCAGGTAGTAATCAAAGACTACTTGAAGGTGATAATTGACAATCAGAAGGAAGCATACAAGCTGTTCAGACTTATTGGCGCAAATTCTGGGAACCGCAAGATGGAAGTGATTCTCCAACAGCACAGCCCATCTCTAATACCACAGCTCCCTATTGCAGTCAAAGAAGGAGAAGCATCTTATATCCCTACTCATCTGAACATGACAAATCTAATCATTAAAGCACAGCAAAGAAATCCGGAAAACTCAGCCCAGCATCTATCCAGCTCAGGACTGGATGGAACAGAATTTATAGGTGCAGTTGTTGACCACTTCTCAAATGATGCTCAATCAGAGGAAAGGCGTGAAAATTTAAGGCGCATCAAAGAACTCTGTGGAAACATGCAGGGCATCAGTGGGGTTGCCGGATCTTCAAAACGCAAGAGAAATTGAACGTTCTTTTCATCAAACCAGGGGGAAAGTATGTGAATACACTAATTTGTTTTGATGAAAACACCTTCTTGTTTAAACACTGCTTGATTGGTTTAAACATTGCTTCAACAATTTTCTTAATTGTGCTTATTATGCTTGATTATGCTTATCTCAAGTATAATTTTGAGAAATTTTTTTTTCTGAAGCGCATACATTCAGGGGGAACTTAACTAGTTGTTGGCTAACAATTGTTTTTGGCAATGAATTATTGATAAGCTCTAAGCAAGGAAGACGGATATCTCAGTTTTGGTACTAAAATTGGAAATCTCTGATTCAGGTACTTTACAAAATCTGCCTTCTTAAACTAAGCTTTAGTGACCTTAATTCATTTCCAACTAGCTCTAAAAGTACTGGTCCTTAGGATTTTTATAATGTACAGGACTTTGGAAAAATAGTACCACTTTTCTTTTAAAATTAAAATTCATAATTATTTTGGTACTACCTCGTCCTATTTAGAAACTAGAACTATAGGGAATGAAAAATGATAGTTTTATTTTGGGCCTTGAGAACCCAATAGGAATAATTTCCCTTTAGTACATAGCTTTCTTTTTGGGCCACTCTTTTGGGCTTAGCCAAACTAAAATAGTTACGTTTCTCAAACCAAACAAAACTAAGTTTCTAATTGGAACAGTTTCAACTCTTTGGAAGTCAGTAAAAGATTCCTTCAACTTTTCAGAATTCAACTTCTTGGAAGTTGAGACTCTTTTACTCTCACCGTTCCAACTACCCACTTAATGGAACCCGTGAACCTCCTCCTCCCCTATTTAAATCAAGACATTCCAATCCATTTCCATCACAAACAACTCTCTCAAATATGAAAGTCTTCAAGTTCACTGTCTAAGAAAAACATCATATAAAATACTCTCAATGGAGAAACTTCTCTTCCTCACCCTCATAGATGGCAATGGAGAAAAGCCTAGTGAGAAGGAAAGCAATTCAAAGTATATGATGCAATTCTCGGCAGTAGAGAAAGTATATGATGCTATTCTCGTATTTTTCGGGATTAGATCATACACTTTCTCTGGAACAACACTCTCTCTATTTTTCTTTTTATTTTTACCTTGATCTCTTTCCCCTTGACAAGGAACAACAAAGCCAGCACGAGTGCAGTAGCAACATTGGTCTTGCGAAGATATACCGTGCAGAAATTCACACAAGTGTAATTGTTGGTTCATTATTAAACAACCAACTACATAGTGGATTTTGAGGACGTAGAAGGATTACCCCACCTTCGAACCTCGTTAAAGTTTGCGTGTCTCTCTCTTTTATCTTCACTCTTACTTGCAATTATATTAACTGTGAAAACTAACCCTTCCATATTGATTACTGCTCACTCTACCCACCAAATTCCGCAGACAATCTAAAGTTCACAAGAACTCTAGATTAACACTTATTTTCACGTTTTCAAAAGAAACGAAAAAGATTTTAAATTTGTAACAAAGTCTATTCACCCCCCCTCTAGACTTTGTATCTCACCACTTTGGGACCACCAGATTTTTAAACTTTTGGACAGGGAATCTTTTAATAATTGATTATCAAGACTAGACAATCGATTATCACCCTGCAACTCTGAAAAATTTGTCTTCATCCTGTTTGAAACTCTAGCAACGGTTTTATCCCATTTTGGGCTATAAAATGGCACCGAAATCCTCTCATTTTACACACAATTCTTCAACATTTCAATACTCTTTGATTGCATAAGCATTCCTATTTTTCTTAGCTATTTGAGAGCCAATTCTTGAAGAAATTGTTGTGTTCTTGAGCATTTACTAGTTCACTCATATCTACTCTTTGTGAGAGTTTTATTCCAGAGTAGTTTAAGTGTTTTCATACACTTTAAGGGAGGTTGTTCCCTTGTTGTAAAATCGAAGGAAGTTCTTGGTTCCTTCGTGAGAAGTCTTGGAGTGCGGTATCTTTGAGCAAAGGTGTTGAGGCTCGTGTGACTCGGGTTCTCAAGTTGTATCGGTTTGTTAAGAACCCTCAAGCTTAACAAAGTTAGTGTAGCTCGAGAGAGTCTCTCGGGAGGCTGGATTAGCCACACGTTGTGGTGAACCAGGATAAAATTCGGTGTGCTCCTTCCTTACGCTCTTTACTTTAACGCTCTCGTTTTTAATTTCCTGCGATTTTGTTTTAAACGCTATTCACCCCCCCCCCTAGCGTTGGGCCCTTATTCTAACACGGTGTACTCTTTTCCCTTGCTCTTTATATTTTTCCTGTGATTTTTTAATTATCGCACACGTGAATTACGCACATTCTAGCGAACAACTCTATTCACCCCCCTCTAGAGTTGCACTTTTGTCTAACACTCTGGACACCTTGAGTGACCTAAGCCTGAAAAGAGGTCCATACTCAGCCTTCTCCCATCCCGTGGCCCAGCACAAACAAAGATATCTGAGTAAAAATCAGGAGTCTTAGATTGCCCCACTTCTTTTCATGTGCAGCACAGATATCATTGAAATCCTTAATCACTAAGGTAAATCTGCCTTGGCCTTAAGCGATTTGATAAGATTCCATGCTTCCTCCCTCTGTTCTCTTCTAGGATCGCCATAGAAACCCATGAGACGCCATTTGATCCCATCATGAATAAGCCTGTCACATCCACATGATTTCTGGAGTATGAGATCAAATTCACACACCACCGATTGCTCCATAAAAATGCAAGCCCGCAACTTCTTCCCACACTATCCACCACAATAATTGTCATTCTCATGAATGTTTGTTTGCAAGGTTGACGTTCGAAACTAAAGTTATATAGCAACATTTCTAGAATAACGTAACAATCATCGTAGTAGGCATTCTAGATTCTCTAGATAGATAATTAAATAAAGACTCGTAATTCAATGTTCTCAAATGTGAATCCCAGTTGACAAGGAGATTTTCATAACAATATTCAAGCAAGCTGATGACATCAAATATGTCACAATTATATGTTAAGAATAAAAATTGTATATAACAATATTTGGATCAATTTCATAGTAACAATTATTTATCTCATCAAGATTACATTTAGCCAATAATTTTTAACTTTATACTTTTTACGTGGATATTTCCATTTTCCAATATGCAAAACATTCCTCACCATTTTTTAAAGACAAAAATAGTTTTGCTATTAATTTTTCATTAGCTCAAAGAGTGTTTAAACACACCTTTTTTTACAAATATATTTAAAAGATACTTTGTATTAAATAACATTGTCAAAAACATATCTCGTCGCATTAGCATCAAAGAGTTTGTAATTATTCATTAAAATGTCTTATGAAACTTAACAACATGGTCACATATTTGTGTTCTTATGCACACTGAAAATTTTTCTTTGAATTCCCACAGTTACCGAAATATAATTTATTATAGTATCTATGATACCAGATATAATATTTTTTCTGCTGATTTCAATTCATTTCAGAGTTAAATCTTAAAGAATTTTTATCTGAAATAACACTACATAGTTAACATATTTTCAACAACCACCAAAATTTGTTGAGTTCCAAATTTTCAAAATGATTATATAAAAATACTTACACAAAGCTTTCAACAATCTGTTTTGGTTTTTTTAGTCCCAAATCGTATATTCTTAATTTATTTCCATCGAAATGATTAATCAAAATGCTCACATAAATTTTTCAACAAATCCATTTTGGATGGTTTTCAAAATAAGTACCAACATTTTCTTTTAAAATTAACTTCAACATACAATAGCTTTAAATACACACATTTTTTTTAATATTCAACATAGAATATTTTTATAAAACAATTTTCATTAAGAATTAACCACGTTCAGAAAAATGTCATATTTATCAAACTTTGGTTTATAATTTGGTCCAATTCCAAGATTACTTTCAACCGGATAATCTCTATTAATTTCAATCATTTTCTCTATCATTTGGAATAACTCTTTTAAAAACAAATATTTGTCGAAATAAGTTTCATATGAAAGTAACCTTTATAAAGACTCAGTTCAGATTTATTTTATGAAATCATACGATGTTGACCCAATTCATAAGTCATAAGAAAAAATTAGTTTCTTCAAAAAGTAATAACAACACTTTGTGGTTAAGCATAGATAAATTCTTGGTTAAATGGTTCGTCAAATCAGTTTCATTAAAATCTTATCAAAAGCTAAGCCAACGATTTTGTTTGAACAACTTGTCAATTGTTTTTTTAAGTAGAGGCAAAATCAATTTCTTAAAACGTTGGATATTCAAAATAATTGGTATAAACATTTTAAACAAGGTATAAAGAATTTACACAAACATTTTTTTACAAATCATTTTGTTTTAACTAATTCATCATACAATATTTTTTAAAAAAACAAATTACAACAAAATATTTCTTTTTTAGCAATAGTGACTCATGACGATTGTTTGACTCAAATATCTTTTCAAGATTAAAAACATTATTTATTTTTGAATATCCACTAGGTGACTCAAAATAGCATTTTTTTAAAACAAATACATTTCAAAAGATCAATATCACATTTTTATGAAAACATTCATAAAATATTTTCCAAGTTATATCATCCCATAATTGTTTTGAAAACATACACATAATGATTTTTTTTCTTTTAATCAATGCATAATTAAAACATTATATATTTTCTATTTGGAGGAAAGATCTTCAAACAAACAACCTCATAATTTTGGAGAAAAATTCTTTTCTCAATATAATGCTTTCAAAGTCTTTTGTTCATAAAAATCTGTATTTTATTCCTTTGTATATTTCAAGATATAAAATAATATCCATAGTGTGTAATAATAATTTACACAATCTTTTTGAAATACTCACTTTTTCTTGTAGAAAATTTTATAATGACATTTGGTAAACAAACAAATTCTTCAAAACATTTTTTATGTAATTCTTTACAAGAATTTAAATATATCAATTGCTAAAATCAACAAGTATATATACTTTTGTATAACCAACTTTCATTTGTAAAATATGTTACAATTCGTTTTTTGTTGTTGTTAGTAATCTCTAACTTCTACCAATGACAATATACTCTAGATATTAAAAAACACATTATCAAATGGAGCTAAGATGAAGTGGAGGATGCGGACACAGAATTCTGAAAACAGTTTAGTCAAATGGTACAAAGACCGATTTTAAAACCATTTGCTCCGATACTAAATTGTAACACCTTAATCCATCCAGCCTCTTTCGGACTAAAGTATTAACTTGGTAACGTAAAAATTTCAAACATTTAAAAACCTTTATTTCAAACAATTGTATAAAATATTTCATAATTACATCAGAGTAAAATTACTTAAAATAGTGCGGAAGAAATTTGTAAATTAAACTAAAAAAGTATTGTCAAGCCATGTGATAAAATCATGTCCATGCATCACCTCCATCTCGGTATTTTCCATAATAACCTCCACATTTATTTCTCTCATACCTACGTGTAGAAAGATAAAAAAATCTACATGCTCAGCAATGAAACTAAGTGGTATCATGACACAACAAAAGAATTCATAGAATAATTTCTTAAATAGTACCAATCACATATATATGTTCAAATATTTGCTTTTCATTTTTAGATCTGTCTTTATTATTTTAACAATGATAATTAACAATATCATTCAAACTTATATAGGAATCAGTCCATATTTCACAATAATCACATGTCATTTTTATTATCACAATATTCATAATTTGTCACACATAATTTCATATCAAGTTTTATAAAAAATAATTGCTCTTAACTGATTCTAAGTCAAGACCAAATCATAACAATGATCTTAAACTATTCTCAGTCTAAGGCGAATTTAATTCTAAAACTAATTCTAGTTTAAGGTACTCTTAACCAACCCTTATGCTAGGCCTAGTTTAAGATAGAGATTTTCAAAAGAGGTTTTCAAAATCTTAAACATACATTCTCTTAAGGTCAACCAGAAACCGAACAACGGAATGTTTACTGTCCGGTGGGTGGTACCCCCAAACGAGTAGGTACTTGGATGCCGTACGAACGTTTTGTGCTTGGATCCCGTACGAACGAGTATGTACTTGGTTTGTGCTTGGATCCCGTACGAACGTTTTAACTCTGGCCACCAGGCATCATACTCGCAAGGCCTAACTAAACGGGTATATCTTAGAGTTCTTCTAGATACCCTTTAAAATCAATATACTAATTTGGTCATATGGGTATATCTTAGAGTTCTTATAGATACCCTTCAAATTCAATATCAATATGAGTACGTATATCTTAGAATTATTGTAGGTACTCTTAACAAAATATAATATATTTATAATTATCAATATATTAATTTCTAAACATGGTTCAATCATTCATAATCATCATTTTAATTAGAATATTCATCAAGGTTGGATCAAAATCAACATTTAACAATCATTATCATAATATCTAATAACAAGTAACATCCTAGTATCGAGTGTTAACAGTCTAGCTTACCATCATATATTACATAGGATTTTTGAATTTATCGATACATCATATTTATTTCTAGAAATCAGTTTCATATTGATCATAATTGATTGGTATCAAAAACAGGATTTTATAGCTTCAGAAATAGCATTTTTGGACTTAAAATATTCGTAAGGGTTGACCGTTGGGTTCGAACGATCAACCTTATCGTTTTAGAAAAATTATCGTCGTATGGTACATGAAGACGCTACCTAGGTACCGTGACACGGTACCCTTTTAATGGTATGTAGCTACCCTGTACGCGCAAGAGAGACGTCGTCACTATTCATCATCTTCAACCTTCGATCAAATTTCTCAAAACACCATTTAAGCTTATAAGCTTTAAACTGACTTCATAAAAATGTTTTCTAACATCCATATATCATTCACAAACAATTAATTTATTTGAAGCTTTAACAACAAAATAATTTTGGTGATTGTGAATATTAAAATATTTATATTTTCAAATATATATGGATCAATAAATTCAAGGATCATTCCAATGCCTTCTAAAGTTAGTTAAAATCATGGTACAGACCTGTAAATCAAAGACATGAACCTCAATGAATGAACGTGAGCGAAAACAACGTTAGAAATCTCAAAACTCGTCACTTCCCATCACCATTGTACCAGCCCTGGGTTTCAGGTCATATCTCCTTCGTTACTCAACGAAATCGCAAATCGTTTGAATCTACGAATTCATAAGACACAAGGATACAACTTTTGTTTAGAAAATAGATTGAAATAACGATGTTTAGAGGGTGTAAAAATGCTCACAAGTGGGCTGATTTGCATATTGGGTGTTTTCTTCATTCCACTTTCTGGGGCAACTTCCGGCAAGAATCGTGGCTACTTCTGGTGACTTCGTTGGTGGCGATCACTTGCATTCTGCTCTCCTCACAACAAGGAATAGAATGGAGGAAGAATAGGAGAGAATGGTGTAGAATTTAAAGAGTTAAGTGCCTCTTTATATAGGGTGATGGAAGAGGGAAGAAGCCAAAGATGGTGATACTTTTGGTGATTTTGCTTGATCTCAAAAATCCTTAAATACGGCAGTATTGGAGGCAATGGGATTATATATGATTCTCTTCTCACTTCAACAAATTTTATCCCATTTGGGGTACAATTTTTAATCCAACTTTCTCCAAATTAAAATCTGATTGCTCCGTTTCGATGAGACAGTCAAGCTCTACGCAATGATATAATTTTCATATTTTTCTGAAATACTTTTTCTGACACCATATTTTTGGTTGTTGACTTTGACATAGTCAAAATTGAATTAATTGATATGTAATTAAAAGTACTCTCATATTCCATAAATATTATCCAATTTAAATAATTTATTCAAATAATTTATTTCAATAAATCATTTTACAAAAGTTCACATCTTTAACCACTTTTCATTTTTATGCAAATTACATATTTTACATGTCACAACTCAAAATATGTACATCAGATTTATTCATAAAATATACTGTTGGATTCGTCTCTTCGAGACCTATCCATAAACCTCAATTTTAACAAAAAAATCATTGATTCCAAAAATTTCTTCATTTTTGGTCAAACATTGTAACACCCCAACTCGCATAACCCGAATAAATAGATTAGCGAACCGGGTTGCTACTAAATTGGTATCAACATACAATATTTCTCAATAAATAAAAACATTTAATTTAAAAACTAAAACAATTCAAACCATTTAATTTACATATCGGAGTTTATACAAACAGTGCGGAAGCCTTGTAATTAAATCAATCATTACTAAGTCCCTGCATCCATACATCTCCTTCATCATGCTGCCCTCCAGGACATATTTCAATGTAAACCCCTCCATGATTACCTACGTGTAAGGGGAAAAAGAGGCTACACGCTCAGCAACGAAGCTGAGTGACTAATATCTAACAGTTCGAACATACACATATGCGAACCCACTAATTCATAATCATAACATTATATCATGCACATAGGTTTAATATCATGCAGTTCACATAAACAATTCATCATATAATTTACTTGGTACATGCCCTTTCCATTCTCATCAAAACGGAGTGTATCTTGCAATAGTGGATCACCATTCATCTGTGCTTAAACTCTACACTAAACTAAGGAATTACTTCTTTTCTGGGAGTCATGATTGTTCCCACTGGATCAGGGGATCATGCTCAACCAACGAGGGAGTTCTCACGATTGGTGGATCACCAAGCCCTGTCCCTATAACTTATACTAGTCTAAGGACTATAACTTGCTGTATGGGAGACATGATGGTTCCCACTGGATCAGCGGGTCATGCTCGACCAACGAAGGAGTTCTCCGTTGGGTGGGTGGAATCCCCACCGAAAGGATCACCAGGCAGTTCAAGGATACCCGTACGTACGTTTTTACCCGGTTCGACTTAACCATTGGAGCCCAGCAGGCATCCACCTGGTTTACACTCTTAATTTCCTATATTTATGTCAGTCCCAAAGTTTCCCTATGGGTATGTTGAAACACGGGTTTATCGTGTTTTCGTACTAAAGCCGTGTTCGTTTTTATGACAGGTTTTGATAATGCCAAACCGCCGTGAACGAGACAAGTTATTGAATATACAAGGAGAGAAATAAATATAAGAAGAAATCAAGAGAACAAGACCCAAAATAAGACCAAGAACAAAGACCGTAGTCTTAGTGTTGTTGAGTCGGTCATAATTGTGATCAAGACCGACCCAACCTTTACACCTTGGCTCTTTAGGCTAAAATTCTTTTCATTGCATTTCACACATCATAAAAATGTTTTTCAAACATGTTTAAAACATTAAAAACACTTGGTGTTCACCCAAACCAAAAATCAAGCCATCCGGCGTTCGGGTTTCAGAAACCGGCGTTCGGCATTCGGTTTTCGGCGTTGGTTTTTGGCGTCCGAACTAACCAAGTGGTTTTAAACTTTTTATGACCGGTTTTTACTTCTGGGCACATTTAAATAGTTTTTCCATAAAAAACACTTCAAAAACCACCTTTCGTTTTTTGTCGTTTGATAAAAACCACGCGAAACGGCATAAACTTGGCTAGCTGTGGTTTTTACTTAAGTGAAGTGGTTTTCAAGTCTTTTTGTGTGGGAATTGTTTTTGGATGCATTTAAATGGTTCTCCAATCAAAACATCATGAAAACCACCTTTCGGTTTTGTCTTTTGGTGAAAACCACCCGTGTACGGTGTTGACTTGGTCAACCGTGGTTTTTACCTTAATGACGTGGTTTTCAACTTACAAAGCTTGTTTTGACATAAAAATACATTAAATAAGTGTTTTATATACTTAGTTTTTACTTTGATGAACTTTGCATTTTTCGGTCGGGTTTCAGCGCCGGTTAGCTAGGCCATGGTTCTGGGCTAGCCATCTACCCAGCTCGGTGATGCCAAGCTCGTTGAGGATAAGGCCCTCGTTGTTGAGCACCCAATTCTCTCCACCATAGTGAGACACATCGTCGCCTTGGAAGGGGAGGCCGGCGATGCGCCCAAGCTGCTCCACGGTGAGCTCGATCGGCGTGCTCTTGACGAGCGAGTAGAGCACGTCATCCTCACGCCGGAGGTTGGAGTAGAAGGCCCGGATCAGCGCCGGGTTGAACTCCTTGCGTGCCCGGGAGACGAACGGCCAAAGGCCGGCTTGATGGAGCTGCGCGTCGAGGTCGTCGTAGCCCTCCAACTCCGGGTAGCGCTCCGGGATGATTCGTGGGGGAGCCACAACCCGTTTGGAGAAAAAGGTGAGAAATCGGGTGCGCTCCTCCTCGGAATCGAACCAGAGGTACGACCCATCGCCGTAGTAGAGGCGTTCTTCGGAGGTCGTGGATGGAGCCCGGGATTTGGACTTGGATTTTCCGGAAGTGCCTGCCCTGTTCTTGTCTTTGCCCATAGTGAAGAAATCTCAAAAAAAAGAGTAGAGAGGATGAAATATGTGAAGATATTGAAGGAATTTGTGTTTGTGTGTGTAAAAGTGAAGAGAGGGGGTCCCAATTTATAGAAAAGGTGGTCACCAACGGCCTGAATTTCAAAATTATGGCTGTTGGAGAAGTTAATGCAGCTGCCAACGGATATTTTTTTTTTTTGAAAATTTTGACCAGAACAGCGATGTTCTACAAGCGACATTGCTGTTGGGACAGCGCTGGTGGAAATCAGAACAGCGCTGTTGTGCGTCAAGTTTTAAAAAAAGTGTCAATTGGACAGCGATGTTGGGTACCCTACAGCGATGTTCCAAAAGTTTCTGGAATTGTGTAAGGGTTTGAACCCATTAGAACAGCATTGTTGGGTTATCCTACATCGCTGTTTTACGATTGGGGAAAAAATTTGTGAAGATGGACATCGATGTTTAAAGCAAGACATCGCTGTTTGAAAAGTTTCTGGTTTTGGTTGAAAACAAAAAGTTTTGGGAAGACAGCGATGTTTAAAACGGAACATCGATGTACAAAAAGTTTCTGGAAAGTGAAGGTGTAAGGGACTCCCTGGGACAGCACTGTTGGGTGGATAGACAGCGCTGTTGGGGAACTTTCTGGTTGACGGTGTTTCCCTAAACAGCGCTGTTGTGTCTCCTGGACAGCGCTGTTTGCATGGTTCCCCCTGATTTCATGAACGGGGTACCTGCAAAAAAGAAAAAGTTCTCCGACGCTCAAGTTAGTAAATGTTTAATAAATTTAGATGTACAACTTAGATCATCGTGGAGTCAAGGATTCCGAGTTCACTTCGAATGCGGAAGAACAACTCTTTCTCTAAAGGTTTTGTGAAAATGTCGGCTAATTGGTTGTGTGTTTCAACAAACTCAATCTCGACATCACCTTTGAGAACATGATCTCTAATGAAATGATGCCTAATGTCAATGTGTTTCGTCCTTGAGTGAAGAACGGGGTTCTTCGTCAAGCTTATGGTGCTAGTATTATCACAACGAAGAGGGACGTGATTGATACTAAGGCCATAGTCCACGAGTTGTTGCTTCATCCAAAGGATTTGAGCACAACAACTGCCGGCGGCTACATATTCCGCTTCGGTTGTGGATAACGCAACACTGACTTGTTTCTTACTAAACCATGAGACTAGAGAGCTACCAAGTAAGTGGCAAGTCCCACTCATACTTTTACGGTCTAATTTGCAACCGGCAAAGTCCGAGTCGGAATAACCAACGAGATGACAAGAAGAGCCTTTTGGATACCACAGTCCAACGTTAACCGTGCCGACAAGGTATTTCATGATCTGTTTCACCGCGATTAAGTGTGATTCCTTCGGACATGATTGATACCTCGCGCAAAGGCATACGCTGAACATGATATCCGGCCTACTAGCGGTAAGATAGAGAAGGGATCTGATCATACCTCGATACTTTTTGACCTCTACTTCCTTACCTTTCTCGTCTTTGTCAAGATGATCAGATGTGCTCATCGGGGTCGCCATGGCTTTGGCGTTGTCCATTTCAAACCGTTTTAGGAGCTCCTTGCAGTATTTAGCTTGGCAAATGAACGTTCCATCTTTCATTTGCTTAACTTGGAGTCCCAAAAAGAATGTGAGCTCGCCCATCATTGACATTTCAAATTTGCTAGTCACGAGCGTTGAGAATTCCTTGCACAAAGACTCGTTAGTAGCACCGAATATTATGTCGTCTACATAAACTTGAACCAAAAGGATGTTATTGTTTTTACTCTTGATAAAAAGTGTAGTGTCAACCTTTCCCCTTTGGAAACCGCTATCTAAAAGAAATTTACTCAAACGTTCGTACCAAGCACGTGGTGCTTGTTTAAGACCGTAGAGCGCTTTCTTGAGTTTGAAGACGTGACCGGGAAACTCAAAGTCCTCAAACCCCGGGGGCTGGTCAACATACACTTCCTCTTGAATAAAACCATTGAGGAAGGCACTCTTAACATCCATTTGATAAAGTTTAAAATCCATAGACGAAGCACGTGGTGCTTGTTTAAGACCGTAGAGCGCTTTCTTGAGTTTGAAGACGTGATCGGGAAACTCAAAGTCCTCAAACCCCGGGGGCTGGTCAACATACACTTCCGCTTGAATAAAACCATTGAGGAAGGC